GGCAGCGTCTCCCGATTGGGTGACGGCTTGATGGGCGACGAGTCCCTCTTCAGCGCCGCCGGGCGCTGGTGGCGGCCTTTCTTCTTCATGCTCCGACGCGCTACAAAACCAAAAGGGCGGAAAACCGGTGAGTGTCTTTTCATAGCTCGTTGCTTGTGAAAACGAAGCGAACCCCCGTTTCTTCTGGGGAATATGTTTCCGACACGCGTCGGTGAAAATCTGAGCGATCGAGGAAAGGTCGGTTTTGCACCTCCCGCATATTCTAAGCGTGGGATGCACTGAAAAAGAGAAAGAGATCGAGCGCGTCACGCCGCCGCGCCCGCCCGCAGTGCACCTCATCACCCTTGCGGCCCGCTGAATGCTGCCGTCGCCGACCACTGGCATGACTTTGTGCGATTTAACGGCACGGACTCGTCACGGAGGAGGGCCAACGGGCGTGTGATTTTGGGTCGCCATAGGAACTGCCGTTCAGCCGCCGATTGTGCTCGTGACACCCGGAAGACGACGAGCATAAATTCCGAACACTTGCTTTTCCCTCGGTAGAACAGGAAACCCTGTCTGAACCCCTTCTCATTCAGCCGCATGACTCGGTGCGCTTTTCACGGCACGGACTTGTCAGGGAGGAGGGCCAACGGGCGTGTCATTTTGGGTCGCCATAGGAAGTGCCGTTCAGCCGCCGATGTGCTCGTGACACCCGGAAGACGACGAGCACAAATTCCGAACACTTGCTTTTCCCTCGGTAGAACAGGAAACCCTGTCTGAACCCGCAACCCGATCCTCCTGCTTCGCCTGGGGCGCTTTTTTCACGCACCTTTTGTGTTCACCTTCTCTCGTCCTAATCTCTTTGCGGCTTTGTACGCTCGCGACACCTGTTGGGCATCTATCTCTTCCCACAGAAGCTTTGGGATGAAAAGAAATCAATCATAGAAAATTATAATTGTACAATTGAAATAGTCAAGACGATGGAGCGAGACTCACGGCGAAAAGTCACCACCCCCCCAAGAAACATCTCGATCGTTGCCGATGCGAACTCCTTCACTAGGAATCGCTTGAAAGCACTTGCATCCATTTGTGAAGATCCATAGAATGTGTGACAAGATAAACAAAAAAGTTTGTTTCTCCGTCTTTCTCTGCATCAATCATGAAGATCCACAGAATGTGTGACAAGATAAACCTCAAACCAACAAAAAGTTTGTTTCTCCGTCTTTCTCTGCATCAATCATCAGCTCGGCATGAGTTGGTTTCACCCAAAACGCCGGTTTCTGATCAAAAAGCAGCAAAAACAAGCTTTTTCTCCGAGGGACTGTATGTGTGTGTCTGTTTTTTATTTTTTGCACCCGTGCCAAATGCCAACTGGCTATCGAAGCCCCCTGAAATAATGACCGACGGACGGACCGACAAATCCAGCTGCGCCTACGAGTACTGTTTTGTGTGTTCAAGTGGCAGCTGTTTAAAGGTTTCGAATCAACGCAACGTGTGTGTGCTCATCTCTGTCGGCCTCTCGATGGTGTTTGACGTTTGGGGTGAGCAATAAGCGAGAACACTTTGCTTTGACAATTTGGTGTTAAAAATATCCAATGTTTAATTCTGCCAGCTTTACAGCAACAAAATATTTTCTCACTTGGAGAACCGCGCAAGCGACACATTTTATTTCCTCGCCGTGATGTTCTATGATCGTCTTGCACTTACTGACTGTGAGAGTGAAAAACTGATGATTACGTGTATGTTAAAACGTCAATAAAAGACAAACGTTCGACATGGTCTCAATATTTTCACCTACAGCGGGAGGAAACGTGTGACCAATTTGGGCGGTTGTGTCAGAAATTCCACCGGGTTCACCCTCTGAGGTTTTTCCCCTTCCACTGGACATGCAGCCACACCATAACAAACAAGTCGCCTGAAAGACCGCGTTGCGTGGTGAAGATGATTCCGCTCACTCGGTCAGTCGCATGGTTCCGTCGCCTCACTCGGCATCTCAAGCGTGTTGTGCTTTGCAATGCACGGCGACAGACAACAACATACGGGACATACGACGGTTTTGCCCCCCCCACCCTCAACCGACCCCAAATTCCCCTAATCCCAATTCATAACAAATGCAACTCGCCGTCCCCAAATTATCGCAGGGCTGCATCTAAGACGTTTAATGACACATCTACCGATTTTCGGCGATTATCGTGATGAATGCGATGCTTGAAAGTTTGCGTATCGCTGCTGACTGTGTGAGGGGGCAAGCCGGGAGGCGTTGACCCTCTCGCTCTCTACGGATGAACCAAAGAAAGGAAGCGGTGAGCTCAGCACCTCCACGCCGACCCCAGCGAGTCTCCACCGGCTCGATCAAAGCCGCCGGGTCGCTACCCGCCCCCCCACTTCGATCGGATGCGGACAAGCGACTGTTAGCCGCCGCGGCTAACGTCCGCTCGGCGAAGGGGTTTGTTGACGAGACTGGTCGCGAGCAAACGGCGAGTTTAACGTAAAGCTTGACCGGGAGAGTTATTCGAAACGTTTGCTACGCGTGGAAGCCCCACTCCGCGTCCTGGAGATAAACGCACAGTCGGTCCACGTCGCTCGCCCCGGACTAGCCTGCTAAAAGGAGCAAGGGGGAAGGAAATATGGCGACTAACACAACAAGAAAACCCACGGGGGCTTTGAAGATACAAATTGTCGCAGCCGTCAACGTTTGCGTCTGACGACCACCGGAGTTCGGCGATGGAGGGCGAATACGAAAAGGTTGCCCAGGGGGGCTGAACTTACCTGGCTTTTCTCAAGAATTCAGCTTGAGCAGGAGGACGACTTAGCAATGGCGTCAGCGGCGAGGCCTGCGGAGCCCAAAAGCAAAGCAGCGAGGCCTGCGGAGCCCAACCGGCGGTTAGGTTAAATCCGCATTCGGCCGGCGCTCGCTGCTGAACCGAGTGCGACGTGAGCGCGGCCGCAAAGTATCCAGGGCGATAGAAGGCCGCGTCGGGGCCGCTCCGAACTCACTGCTGGCTGTGCGGAATAGCGACGGTTGCGCTGCTCGGGCCGAGCTGACTCGTTGAGCTTGCTTCTCTTCCCCCCAACAACAATGCGGCTGAGAGTCCTCTGCGTCGTGACGTCGAGCGTACGTACCAACCCAAACCAGGAAGTGGAGGAGCCGAGACGTTTCCCATTTCCCGACGGAGTGGTGTGTGCGACTCTCAAAAGTAACCTTGAGAGGAAAGACCTTCAATTATGGCACCCCACCCCTTTAAAAAAAAAAAAAAATACAACATTTCTAGTACTACAATAGGAAGCAAGTCCATTTTTTTCAATCAATCAAAAAATTCTGACACATGACCTCGAAAAATGCCTTTTTGTTCCATGTTGGTTATAAAATACAACTCTCAAACACTACATGAGAAATACAGCACATCCATCTCTTCATTTTCATTGATCTTCATTTTAGGGTCACATGCGACCTGCAACCTACGGTCTTCCAAATGAGTCTTGGGCGAGATCCTGAGGAACACCCTTGACTAGTTTGCCAGTCATTGTCAGAGTCCATTTTGAGAAACTGACCCATCAGTCAATGTAAAAGCCCATACAGACAAAAAAAAAAGGACTGTACTCCACTGTGAGTGTTAATGGTTGTTTGTCTGTGTGTGCCCTGTGACTGGCTGGCACCCGGGACAGGCTCCAGCAGGCCCGCGACCCTCGGGAGGATAAAACGGTTCAGATAATTGATGGATTGGATATGTGAAGCAGATGTACAAACCGCTCAGCCAGCTGCCACGCTGCCTGGAATAAAAATCATTTAAAAACGTAAGATTGTTGTTTACATGCTAATAAAACTCGGCCTGGTCAGTCAGCCTGGGCCTGGTCTCCGCTCTGTCGTGGTCCCAGTGAAGAAGGAGAGTCCTCCTTGGAGAGCAGGTTGTTTTTGCGCAGGTGGCAGGCCTGCTGGTATGGGGGGCTGATGGGCGGCTGGGTGGGGGGGGTGTATTGGTACTCCTTGCCAGCATCCAACTGCAGCACGAAGGAACAAAGTCATTTTTAAGGGCGGTCACTGAAGTTTTGTTTTTTGTTTTTTTTTTTTTTGGGGGGTGGGGGGGTGGCTTCACCTGCAGAGGGTAGGTTCTGTCGGAATCAAAGGCACTCAGATCTCCACACGCCAGGAATGGAACAATGATGCGGTTTGGACCTTCTAACTGGTTGAAGTCCACGTCTGTTTTAAAAAAAAAAAAACAACAACAAACACCCCCCCCAGGTTTCTCAAATCCAGTCGTTCGTAAGCGGTGTGTCATAGTAAATGATATAATTTCGCTTCATCTCTCCAGAAGTTCTTATTTATTCACGACATTATCTGTAATGAATAAATAATAAATGTGACAATGTATGCCACGACCGATAGTGACAGGCAGAGCAATGATTTGCTCTTCTACTAGACCAATGAATCCATTTGAATTTGATGTTGTGCTATGAGATTACCGTAGGAGTGATCCAGCAGAGGGTTGGACATGTTGGGCACGTAACCTTCTGGAGGGTGGTAGTTCTGACACACCACAAACGCTTCTGCACACCAGCAGAAAGAACACATGAATAAATAAACAAATACATAAAAACAGAGCGACAATGAAAGAAATGTTCAAAAAAAAAAAAAAAAAAAAGGTGGCCGCAGACCTATGCTGGAGTTTCGGCTGCTGCGAGGCTTGGCGCACGTCACGCCGCCGAAAAAGATCTTGAGCTGCGAGTACAACAGTGTCACGTCTTTGCCTCGGAAGATCTGACAAGGGCGGGGAAAACAGAAGACAGGAAATGGTGTCAACAATCAATTTTATAGATCAAATGGAGTTTATTTGTCAAAAACATTTTGAAGGGGGCGGCGGCTTCTGTTGTGCAAAGCAGGTCCCCGGTGATGTGTGGGCTGCTTGCACTAACAACATGGCAGCAAGCCGAGGACCTACTTTACTTAACTCAGAGACTTGAGCGCAATCATTTCCACATTTTTATTTTATGTATGACAAGATAGGAGGCGGCTGGAGTCAGTGGCATTGAACATTATGAATGACACGGTGCCATTTATACGGAGCAAATGCAGTCATGCAGACACATATGGACATTTTTGACGCGAAATATGAGCTGCAAGCCACAAATGCTGAGGCTGAAGTTGTTTTGCTTCACCTGTACTTGAGAAAATAATTCATAAGTTGGAGAGGGTGGACAAAATAAGGGACAGACTGTCAACAGTAAAACAAGAGAAGATGAACTGACCTTCGCCACAAACGTTCCTCCTGGTTTAAGTACGTGAGTGGTGATGTTCAGTGCCTGAAGTTTAAAAAAGAAAGAAAAAAAAAACAGCTAGAATGACTGATATAAGCCATCCACGCATAAAACAAACCCTGGCGACTCACAGCCAACAGCAGCTGAGCCTGAATATACTCATCCACATCATGGAGGCCCGTTACTATGGCAACAAAAACAACAACAACACATGAGGGACGTCCATTAGGCAGCAATGGCGGGGTGGCGGCCAAGGGTCTGACCGTCAGGAGCGCCGTCGCACACCACCAGGTCCGCCGGCTGGCCCTCGAAGTGGCGGACGATCTCCTCGGCCGTCGACACCTGAGACGCCAGGGGAGAGAAGATGTCCGCTCAATCCCGTGGCGGTTTGCACGAAACTAGAAGGCTTTCGTCATTTTGTGGTTTGGGCTAGTTACAGACTGTACAGAAATAGATCTGGACCTGATATATTGATATACATATCACATATATTTACAGTTTTTTTTGTGTGTGTGTGTGTGTGTGTGTGTGTTTTGTTTTTTTAATTTGAGGCTGACCTTGGTGATGTCTCCTTGAATCTGAGTGACTCCTGGAAGAGGAGCCATGGCCTGGAGGTCCACCGCCACAATCTTCACCTCTTCACCGCCCTCACACTTCTCCCCATGACCTCTAAACAACAACAAACTTGTTTCGGACCCATTCCAGGCTGACCAGTGTCCTGGATATTTTTTTTTCCATGGAACAGAAGCCCTCACCCTTGTCAGATAGATGTGCAGAAAGTAAAATTATGTATAGATACCTGAGTTTCCGACTGAGAACTTGACTCCAGCTGCCAGGAGCAGCACAGAGATCTACAGCTCTGTTCACACCTGATGTTGCCACAAACAAAACAACACAAATTAAGCACTTATTACATGACAAATGATGTAGCACAATAATAACCAGAGCCGAACCCTGGACCTGTGTAACGTGAGGCGGGCGTGCTCAGCAGGCGACCACTGTGCCGCACAAATTATTCATTCGCTCCAGATATCAGTTAAATTTAGCTTTGTTACTTATTTCCCTCTTTATGGAGGACAGACTACAGATGGGAGGTGCCAAAATGATTCTGGGGGCTGGACGGTTCCAGTGGTGCCAAATAAATGAAACACCATTTTGCTGATCAGGGCCGTACACAGATCGGCTCCATTGAAACGTTATTTTCGTCCCCGCGTGCACTGCTGCTCGAGTCTCCAAAGATTTGTGGATATTGCTTTTGGCATGTTTGTCATTCCTGCATGTGTGGTGGCCTCCTGGTTAATGTCGCGTCTTCGTGACTGCTGTGTCAGGGGATTCGTTCTGTGGGGAGTTAAAACGACTCGAGTATAAAGTCTGACCAGTGAACAGGCTGAACTCCTCGTCGAGCTGCAGCAGCTTGAAGGCGCTCCTCGCTCTCCAGCCTTCCTCTTTGGCCAGCCGGTAGTAAATGTCCCGTTTGTCTTTGGACGAGCGACCCATCCTGAGACGCCTCCTCTGGTGGACGATATCATCATGTTACACGACCGAACTGTTGTTTCCCCGCCGAACAGTGTCCCGTCGTCCATCCCCAAAGACGTGCCACAATGCACTTCCCAAACGTACACAAAACCGCGGACATTCGAGTGTTTACGTGAAAGCCGATGTTTAGGCAAGTATTTTGTGTTTTGCGAAATGCATTTTGTTGGTAGATTATTAATTGCTGACCAACGTTATAGAATAGGTGCAAGGTTTCAATTCCTTTTCAACGTTTGGTTTGGTACGTTGTGCACACGAGACGAGATTGCTTCTCTTTTAGTGTGACCAATTAACATAGGTGAGTTCGAAAAGTAAAGAGCGGTTCTGAAAATGGAAAAAAATATTTTGCTAGAGAACGTGGTCGACATTTAAAATGGTTTAAATTGTTATGCTTACAGCTGCAAACGCGATTCCGTGTTCCGGTAGGACCCCTACCCTACAAGTTGTCCTCAGCGCGCCTGTTCAAAAAGAACAACGTTGCCGCGAAAACGCCCAACTAAAATAAATACTTGTTAAGAGAGAATTGAAGATATCTCTGTGGCGATCGGAGGTCAATATTTGAACCTCCCGCTCTAAACCAGCCGCGACGACAGATTTGTTACTTTGTGACTTTATTTCCCACTTCAAAAGTCAAAAAAGATTGTGCGTCCCTGGGTGGGCTCGAACCACCAACCTTTCGGTTAACAGCCGAACGCGCTAACCGATTGCGCCACAGAGACATGTCTGCCTTTCGTTGACGTTTGGGATTTAATAGAAAAAAAAGTAAAAGCGTGGACCACAAAAGTGCATGATCATTTTATCATTACATTAAACGCTTCCCTAAAAATAAACACCTGTTTTGGAAATAAGACATAACAACATTTTTGTTTGATTAAATAATTACTGCAATAGGTAAGTAATTTTTTTTAAATGACCATTTGACAATGAATACGAAATATTAGGAAAACATTTGTGCTTGATCTTCTTGAGTGATGTTTTTGAATAATAGTTGGATTAATTATAAATAACAAAATGAGATGAAGAAATTAAGAATTCATGATTGAAAGGAACGATTTCACGTAAACATGTTATTATCACCACGATTATGATTTGAATTTTAGTTTTTCGAATAACCTCATCTACAAATGACGCGCTTGGTCATTTGAACAATCGACTGCGGCCTTTGCACACAAGCGTTCTCAACCCTTCGAGTATGGAGAGGCGGTCAGTGTGGTGACAATGTGACCCGTGAGCGTTGTAAATGTGACTCCGCTCAGTTGTCCTCGTCTATGTTTAGCTGCTCTATTTTGAAATGGAGTCTCCCATCACAGCGTGAAGCAGTTCCTCTCCGGCGTCTCGACAGCACGTCCGGATAACTTCCAGCTACTCCGATGTTCGTCGCAGCGTCTCCATGTCGCTGCACAGTCTCGAACGTGCAGACGGAAGCCGCAAAGTCGACTCGGGCGGTGATCGTCGGCCTCACGGTCCCGCCGCTGCCAGACTGACGGTGGTGGTGGAGGACATCCGCTTCTCCGAGGAGAAGGCGCTACTGGTCCAGAGCTGCGACTACTTTGGCGCACTCTATCGCTCTGGGATGAAGGAGTGTCGCCAGGAGGAGATCCACCTCCAGTGTCTGCGCGCTCGTGGCTTCTTTATCGCCTTGGCGGTCATGCGAGGCGAGGCGCCCAGTTTGGATGCCGACGACATCGTGGAGGCGATCCAATGTGCTGCTTTCCTACAGGCGGCGCCACTCACCAGGCACCTGGTGGACCTGGTCGACTCCGACAACTGCTTGCTCATGTTCCACACCGCCTCCACCTTCGGCCTACTGGAACTCTACCATGCCGCTGGGCTGTACATCCGGGATATGTACGTCGACATAGAGGCGGAGGTCAGGCGGACTCTGCCGCCGGAACTGATTTCCTTCGTGGAGTCACTCAGCCCGAGCGCTTTCGTGGCCGTTGGCGCCCACGTCAGCTGCGATATGAGCGAAAGCGTCCACGCCGCCTCCAGGACGGTCTGCTACCTGGATGAAACGGGGAACGCGTGGAAAACTCTGACCGATCTCCCTCCGGAGGCCAGCACCTCCATGGCAGGCGTGACCGTCCTGGACAACAAGCTCTATGTCGTGGGCGGCGTCCGCGGCGTCCACAGAGACGTCGTGGACGCGTGCTTCCGTTACGACGTGGACAAGAATCTCTGGACCGAGCTGGCAGGTCCGGCGCAGCCGCGCTTCAACTTCAGCCTCCTGGGACGAGACGGACGCCTCTACGCCATGGGAGGAGAGTACGAGCGGACGGTGATGTCATCCGTGGAAACGCTGGAGGTCCGGACCGGCAGGTGGAAGTTCGCCGCGCACCTGCCGAAGCCGGCGGCGGGGGCGGCGTGCGCCAAAGCCACGGGGAGGATTTTTGTGTGCTTGTGGAGACCGATGGAGACAACCGAGATCCACGAGTATGTCCCGAGCGCAGACGAGTGGCGTTTGGTCGCCAGCCTCATCCGTTATCAGAGCTACGGCCACTGCATGGTGGGCCACAGGGACAATCTGTACGTGATGCGCAACGGGCCGTCGGACGACTTCCTGAGGTGCATGATGGACTGTTACAACCTGAGCACGGGCCAGTGGACTTCTCTGCCGGGACACTTTGCCAACAGCAAGGGTTCGCTCTTCACCGCCGTCGTTCGAAGCGACTCGGTCTTCACGCTCAACAGGAGCGCCACGCTGGAGTACGTCGTCCACGGGAAGACCTGGAAACCCCGACGTCAGATGAAAGGTTTCCCTCGGAGTGGATCGGTGTGGACGTTCTTGCTCAGGCTACCGATGGTCCAAATCCCTCAGACGAATGATTGACAAGTTGTTTGTTTTTCCTTCATCATTGGTGGGACACCACCGATTATTCGAGCGCAGGGATGTTGTGAACGTCACGCGAAATGAGGCGTCTGTCCGACTTCCCACAGGAAACCCTCAGCCAAGGTCTCCCAAGTGGATCAGTGGTGACGTTTCTGCGCTGGCTACCCACAATCCACTTGGCGCGATTTTTATCTTGATCACACTCTGGATGATATTGGCAGACCTTGTTGAAAGAAAAACACTTTTCTCAACAAACTGGACAATTCGTCATAAGTATATATATATAAAGATCATACTTTTGCAAGAAAAATACGTCATCTGAAATAAAAAAGTAACAATCTCACAATCGCATGGTGCAGCATTCGATTTTTTTTCAGGAAATAAAAGTTGACTTTTCATTTTTTTGTCAATAGCAGTCGTCTTCCGAGAATAAAGTCAGATGTTTTTTTAAGGTCCGAACGTTTCATTTTCTTTCTCAAAAACAGTTCTGTTTTTCAAAGATAAATACAATACAATAGATCTTGATTGATGCAGCGCTTTCACAACAGCTGCAGCTGTAACGAAGCGCTTGACAGAACAGTTGACATAAAATAACAAAATAATTCTGTCTACAGTAACACAACACATCACATAAGACACGAGCAGTCATGCAATCTTCAGCACTTATCCTGCATATACGCTTTGTTGTTTGAAGCGATGGAGATAATGGGGGTCATCTTATTTCGGGACGGAGGGGGGGGGCAGTCATGCAATCTTCAGCACTTATCCTGCATACGCTTTGTTGTTTGAAGCGATGGAGGTAATGGGGGTCATCTTATTTCGGGACGGAGGGGGGGGGATTTGTGCACAAAAAAAACAAAAAATAAAAAGTTACTTTTGTAAAAGAGGTTTACATAATAAGAGCAATAAGTTGCATTTCAAATGCATTCTTCAGAAAACTGTCATGTTCTGTTCCCGTGTATCTCCAGCAGGTGGCGGAGGAGGGCCTCACCTCCGGGTCGCATACCTGCTGCTCATGTCATTAGGCCGACTCTTCAGGGAGGACTCGGTCTTCGCGTCTCTGTGGGAAAATTCGCCTCGCTCACAGCTCTGCCCTCAAGACACGAGTTCTTCGAGACGTCTCAAGCTTTCATGTTCTCCGTTTTCTGATTCCACCTGGTTGTCTTTGCTTACTTTTTGTAAGTTGTTTTTTGTTGTTGTTGTTGTTGGTCACGGCTTTGCTAATGTACCCGTTTGGGATTTTTCTTGTCTATTTTCCGACAACTATTTCCATTTATATTTTGTTCCTTGCCTTCGCAAGGGGTTTTGGTTCACTTTTTATCCTGCTGTTACACTGAAACAATTATTCACTCCTTATTTTAGTCACGTTTGCAGTTTATGTAAAATAGTTAGTTGATTCTAATTTATGAAGCAATTATTGAATAAGTATCTTGTGACATAATTCACAAATACATTTTGGAGACAATGCTCCTAAACGAAGGCAAGAAATATTCCAGAACACAAAAGCGAGTAAATGAACGAAGCCACGTGACTTTGTGGACTTCACTCTGCCTGCCTGTCAAACATCAACTTTCTGTTTGCCTGCTGCATTGAGCACTATCGAATAACGTTTGCCGCTTGTGGAAATCGCTGACGTTGCTGTGTTCATTGAACACTTTTCACATGCCGTGAAAAGGCGGGCTTCACTCAAGACCAGGCATGTCCAGCGCCGGTCCTGCCCGTTTTCCAGCTCTCCCGGCTGCAACACACTCGATTCAGATGAGCCAGTCCTGAAGAGCCATTGGAACGATTTTCTGATGAATTGAATCGGGTGCCATGCTCCTGGGAGAGCTGGAAAACAGGCAGGACGGCGGCCCTTGAGGACAGAGTTTGGACACCCGGGCTCAAGACAATTCAAAATGCAATCTAAGCAGCCAATCTTGGAATGTTTTTTTTTTTCTTGAATAAGTTGTGACAAAAAAAAAAAAGAAATTGAACTTCCTCCACGAATTCCATACGCTTCCTAATTGTGTGACCTTTTGCGGGGAGGTCATCATGTGGCGTCAGCAGCGCAGCGTCCATCTGTCGGTCCGTCCGTCCAGAGGTCTGGTGGACGAGAAGGTAGCCATCCTGGTGCAGAGTGCGCCCCCTGGAGCCCGGATCACCCTGTGCGCCTTCCACCGCTGCGAGGACAGACACGGGTGGGAGGCTTTTGCTCACTACCTGACGGACGCCGCAGGCTCCCTCAACGGTATGTCGGGGGTTGGTGTGCCCCGTCTGGAATATTAAGGGAATGTTCCAAGACCGCTCCGGAGACATTAGGAGACTCTTATGGGACGATCAAGGCGCCATTATGATACTGTTTTGGGATTTCTATGGAAATGTTGTGGTCATGATCTTTGCTGCGCAGTGTCCAGAGATCCCAGCCTGGGTGGGACGTATTCCGGGGTGGAGCAGATGGGCCTTTTCTGGAGCATCAGACCAGTTCCGGGAAGCCATCCTGGACTCAGGTAGAGCACGGCCGGCGAGACTACATTCATAGCCGCTTTTACCACGAGATTGCACAAAATTCCTGCGTCGCAGTGCATCCTTGGTACCACATTCCAAAGCTAGGAAATTGGTGGCTTGCTTTCGTCCCTCTATTCCTTTGACACATCACAGCGATAGCAGAGAAAGACGGCCAGCGAGAAAGGAGCTAATCCCTCCTCATCTCTAGGCTGAGGAAGAAGAATGTGCAGACCCCCATGGAGTTCACCATCTCCGTCTACCAGGACCACTTCACCGACTTCACGGATCAGGTACCGCTGGCGTCTCAAACGGTAGAGCGCTGGTACATGGCGCCCGGCGTTCTCAGGACCCCCATCAAGGATCACGAACTGACGGCGACCCTCTTCCTGCCCACAGGTACTGGCGCGACACTCCAAATCCCTCATAGACTGTTTCAGAATATTTGTAAACATGGTTCTTCTGCGTGGCAGAAAAGGGAGAGGCTACCGGTGGCCTTGTCGTGGAAGTAAACAATATCTCCCTCGATCTTAAAACCTGTAAGACCGAGGGAGCAACTCCTTGACTTGACTCAGTTTGTCGAGCTTCAGAACTGACATCTTGTCCCACGTACAAAGGCAACCACCAGCCTCGGGGCAGTTGATAAGCCGAGTTTGTTATCAGACAGACCGCAACTATTCGTCACGACCTCGTCAAAGTGAACCAATTCCAATCACCTTTATTTCTATAGCCCTGAGGCACAAACGGTCTCAAAGGGCTTCACGTGCCCAGAGTTGACAAATATTCACAACATCCCCTGACCTTAACCCCAAAATTTGACACAGTCTTATACTACACGATGTTAGATTGATTTAAAAGTCCATTGAACAAAGTTAAGAATGTGTTCCCGCCTTTCACTCAATTCCCAAAGCAAATGAAACATTTTTTCCCAATCTGAGAAGACTGGAAGGGCAGAATCTCAGCAAAAACGACGTCCTTCCTTCAACACGGCCCTCAGGTTGTTCCGACCTCCCTCTGACAGTCTCTGACCCTGCAGCAAACACATCCTGATGACCTGGCCCCTGATGTTTTGTTACAAATCCTTAACAACTTTGGAATGATCATTGATCATCAGACCTGTGACGTCCCTTATCCTGAACTGGGTCACGAGGAGTTGCTGGAGCCTATCCCAGCTGACTTTGAGCGAAAGGTGGAACAACACCTGAATTGGTCGGCAGTCAGTTTCGGGGCACAACGAGAGACGAACAACCATTCACACCCACATTCACACCGTCAGAGTGGGAACCGACCCCATACTGCCTGCACACAACTCGGGCGAGTGTACCGAATACAATTTAAACTTTTTTACATAATTGTCCAGAGGAGAGCGCAAGACTGGCTTCTGAACTACTGCCACCCAGAAGTACATGTGACTTCATGGTGAAATGTCCTGTTAAATCACCCATAACCCCCAAACCCCCCAAAAAAAATCGGTTCACAGGTCCCGGACCGTTCCCTGCCATCCTGGACTTGTGGGGTGGCGGAGGCCAGCTGGTTGAGTACCGGGCGGCGCTGCTCGCCTCACATGGCTTCGCCACACTGGCTCTGGACTACATGACCCCGAAGATCACAGTGGAGACCGGAAAGATGGTGGACAACACCTACTTTGAGGTCAAGTCCCTTCCATGTCCTGATTCTGTTTTCTGCTGATGTCTCACGATAGTAATTATAAAGTTGGCATTGTGATGAATGAGTGAACAGCACTCCATTGGACAAATGTCTCAGTTCTGATAGTGGTCCGTTCCCCGGATCTGCTCCAACACCTGGTTTTAGTCCTTGTCCTTCCATGACACGGATCTGTCACATGTCATGGAGCTACAGTAGGTCTCAAGCTAGCAGCATAGCATGAGTATTTTGGTGATCCAGCTCACAACGCCATACCGTTGTGTGTAATGGTCCCTTTACTGGGCCCGGTCCTATACATGACCTGGTCCTCATCCATTTATGTCCCAGTTCTGTTCCATGTCTCAATCCTTCCCGCAGTTCCTAGTCCTAAATCTAGTCAATCTGCCAGACATGTTAGTTGCATGCCATCATCATTTTGGAAAGTTCTGGATCTAGTCCATGCCCTGTTCCTGTTTTTTCTCTGAGTCCTTGTTTATCCATGTCACTGCTCTGTTCTTGGTCTATCCATGACCTGGATTTGCGCCATGTCGTGGACCTACTGTAGGTTTCACTTTCATAGTCTAATGAATGAGCTTACCACACTTTAACATGAGACAAACGTCTGTGTCCCAGTCCTGGTTTTGATGTCCTGCAAATAACCATGACATTAGTAGCATATTGAACTTTTTGCTAACGAACCAACAACGGCAGAGCGTTATTTTATGAAATGCCACTGTGACGGATTGTCTCATCTCATCTCCATGTGGGTGAGAGCGATAAGCCAGTGTATGTGTTGCCATAGTAACCGCCGACATCACGTTCTCCGCTCACAGAGGGCCTTCACGTTCCTGCAGCAGCACCCCGGGGTCCTGGCCGAACGCGTGGCCATGTTAGGTCTGTCCTTTGGCGTCTGCGTCACGCTCAAGATGGCCGCCTACTCGCATGTCGTCAAGGTTGCGCAAGGATGACATCATTTGTATTTGTGCGGGATCGTGTACTTTTTATTTTGGTGCGCGTACCCCGTACTTGTTTGAACATGTGTTACAGCCCAGGTGTGCAGTGTGCATCAGTGGAAGCCACGTGCAGCCCGTGGATGGAACGATGGCGGACATTTTATCTTATTTTGATCGGTAACATTCACCATTGGGACTTGCGCTATTTTGTTGGGAAGACGAGGTGCTCCTCCTTATGTTTGTTGGTTGTCGTTCCCTCAGGAACGGGCACAAGATTCAGTTGAATGACGAGAACCAGGCCATCTTAAGAAACTTGCTGCTGCCAATACCCACTGACCCCGCCTTCAAAGTGGATGTGAGTTCTTGCTTCTGGGGTTGGTCCAAAACCAGGCCCAAGCCATGGGCAATGCACTGCTTGACTCCATGGCCCTGGTCCAAGTCCTTGCTCTGGGTCCTGGTCCTGAACTAGGTCCCCATCCACAGCCATGTCCAGTTTTATGCTTTTGTTCCTTTCTTGTCTCATGCCCTGGTTCTCTAACATATCCTCATCTATGACCCAGATTCTGTTCCCCCCCTACCCCCAACCCCCTCGTTCTAATCCATGTGGTGGTCTTATTTATGCGGGGATTGGTTGAATGCACCAAGTACAACATTTCGTGTTTTGCCAGGTCGGACGTGTGCAATGTCCACTGTTGGTGGTCGCAGGCGAGGATGACCAGAACTGGCCCGCCGCCGAGTCAGCCCAAGACGTGAGGAGCACAAGTTCAATGTCTGGTTTCAAAATCACGAGGGTGCACATTCACCCATAAAACAACCTGTTTGTGATGCAGATGAAGGAGATGATGGAGCGTGCGGGAAACGCCCACCTGCTGACTGTTCTTTCTTACCCAAATGCGGGACACTTGCTGGAGCCTCCGTACTCCCCACACACCAGAGCGAGCTCATTCCGATCTGTAGGCAGTCGGGAAAAGAGTAAGTTAACACTAACCGAGAAAAGGTTTGTCACAAATAACTTGGGGTTGTGTACTCATCCCGGTCTGTGTCTCTGTTCACGTCCATGTTCCCTCGGTTTATGTCCTGACCCTTGTTGTGGTCCATGTCCTTGTTCCGGACAATGTTCTTGGGCAGGGTTCTGGACTATGACTTGCTTCATACCCTTGCCCATGTCCCAGTCCTTGCGGGGGAGGCCTCGCTTGACTGCATGTCGGTTGTAATCGTGGCGCGGTGCTGTGTGTTCCAGTCACAGCTCTGTGGGGAGGCCATTGCGCGGCGCATTCGCTGGCTCAGGAAGACGCTTGGAAGAAGACCTTGGACTTCCTGCGCCACCATTTGTACTCATAAAGATTGAACGCCGGTGCCCGCCAGAAGAAGGACAAGTCGGAGGTTAACCCGGGTAGTTGTTTGTAAAAAACATAAAAATTGTACAAATTTACTTACAACTCCAGCTTGGATAAGTGATTCAGAAAGTGGATAGATGTGCCTGGGTTGAATGTCATTGGCTTTTTTACATGGAGTTGCTCGTCACTCCATCAAGTGTGTCACTTGGGGTTTTTGAATTTTTCCTTGCCCTTCCAGGGAGGCGAGGGGGGTGGGGGTGGTCGATCAGGGGATGTCGCGCACCTGTTCTAAAGTGTCCCAATGATTGACTGCGTGAATGGTTGTTCGTCTGTGGATGGATGGATATTTTAAGACCGTCAGTAAAAAAAAAAAAAAAATGACTGCGTGAATGGTTGTTCGTCTGTGGATGGATGGATATTTTAAGACCGTCAGTAAAAAAAAAAAAAAAAAGTTTGCAAGGGTAACGGCACACAATTTTATTTTCCTGCTTCTCATCCCTAAAATGCAATTATTCGGAAGCAACAAATGCAGACAGAGCTTACAACACTATTCACAAACATATATTCTGTGTCGTCCACACAAAAAAGAAAAGAAAAAACATCTTTTTCAGCTTGTTCCGAACGTCTTCTTCTGTTTCATCACCAAATATACATGAACGTGTATAATATGTACTGCCCCCTGGTGGGCAAGGCGCGCACCCCAAAAACAAACTCGAATTCCCATTGAATTGATCACAAAATCATGCTGCGCACACTGTTCTTTGCATTCTCTTCGATTACTTTATTACTGTATGATTTCATAAAGTATGACAATGTAGAGTATTATTTCTCTCATCAAAAAAATCCCCACAATATTTCTTATTTTCTCATCCATCCAGGAAAGTAAACAATGTGTTACTGTGCCTGCATATACTGTACATCTGGTTCAAAATAAAAGAAATGTATTAACAGCAACATTATTGATTTATTTAATGCAGAAAACAAAAATGACGCTTGGAGGGGTTTGGAGTGGAAGACTCGGGACTCCAACTCAAAGTTGTGCTTCAACTGTGAAATTTGCGGGAAAGGTGGAAAAAAGGGGATTTGGTTTGGATCTGGATGAATAGAAAAGGGCATGTGCCGACGACGTCCAGCCTCCCTTCAGGTTTTTCTGATTAGTTAATGAGAGCTCGTCATCAACACGCACGCACATCTTGAGAATCTATAAGGGCCCGCAGATGGCGAAGGTGAAACCGGTTGAAAAAAGCCACCTTCGAGCGCGGCAGAGGTTGGGATCAAAATGGTGAGCAGTGACATCCGCCTGGAGGCTCTGTCGGTGCTGTGCAACACTCCGATTACCTCGCGGCAGGCTCGGGCGTCTGGGCGCGGCCCCAGCCTGGCCTCGGCTCTGCCCATGTCAGTGAAGGGCTTCGTGTCCGCAGCCATGGGTCGCAGGTCAGTGCCCGAACGACTCAAAAGGCAAACCCGTTCCACGGAGGACTCGCTCTCGCGCTCGTTGTGCTCCTTGCAATTCGTGGGAGCCTGTGGAAATGACTTGGCCATTGCAGATTTGGTTCATTCCGTACGCTTCACCTTGCAATTATGATCATAGAGCCTATGCTTTTATCTTGAAGGGGATAGGAAAGGAAGGTGTGCGCAATCATGAACAAATGACGTCACTAATTGTGGCGCCTCGACTCCGACGAGCTGGGAAGAAACGTGTTCCACGGCAAAAGTGGACCGAACTGAAGGAGAGAAGTCAAACTGAACCATTCTTTAGCACCCGGTTGAAAAGGGAACGAGGTTCGTACGTAATGTTGGATTGGTCAAATCATTTCCATTGATTTCACGGCGTTTGTGACTTGCGGGCTGCTTTGCGAAGCAGTTTCGTTTCCATCCACTAGAGAGCGCTAATGCACCTTGATAAAAATGTCCCAATGATGGAGCACAAGGTTCAGTGTTGTTTGTGTAAGTTGGCGGGCTTCGTAGGTTTTGAATGGATGGCTCGACGTTAGGAATGGTCAAAAAGGAGAGATGGACTTCGTTTGAACGCAGCTTTTATTTGTCTTAACGTCTGCTCGGCAACTCCCGAACGAACACGCCTCCTTCCGGTCACGAAAACACTTCCTGCTTTTCTTCAGCCAATCAGACGCAAGCAACATAAGAATGTTTCAGCAATTATTAAACAGAATTATCATTGAGGAAACTGGAACATAAAATAATATAATTCTCAAATATAAAATAATAATTAACAATTGAGCAAAAGCTTGCATTTGCTATGAATTTGTGTTCTGAGTGTTCATTTTATCTGATGCTCGACGCAAACGCAAAAGCAAGGGAATTCATTTCTGGTACACGTTTGAAGTTAAAGGATGTGCAAAGCATGGCGTGGTTGGAGTTATGAATTGGATTTCGTGTTTAGTTTGTGTGGTCGCCCTGACGCTGTGTTCACACAGTGGCTGTTTCATAATAGTTTCGACGCATCCATTGAAGAGACCTCCTTTGATTCAACAGACTGCACTTGTTTCTCTTTAAGCTGCCACCACCGTTTTGGGCTGATCTTTTGGACTACTTGTCAAGCTGGCGTGCGTGCGTGTGCCTCCCCAGGCAGTTTCGAGGACTTCTTTGCCTCGTTTGCGAGCCTGACAAAGTGCTGAGTCGGCGGTGTTCAACAAATGTACAAAAGCATCACTCGACTCCAGAGCGGCAGTAAGAATGACATTTTGTGTGTGTGTGTGTGTGTTTGTGTTTGTGTGTAGTGGCGCGGGTGACGAGGGCCTGGTGATCGACGAGGACGAGTTTTTCGACAGCCAGTACGACTTTGATTTCAGCAACCTGAAGGACACGCGCACCTACTACCGAGGAGGCGAAGTCTACCGCAGGCCGTGTGGATGGCTGCGCTTTGCTCTCAAGGTCCGCATTCGTGCAACGCACTCCCGTTTGCTGGCCAAGCGCGCGCGGGCGGGCCTCTGACTTCTCTCTTACCCCTTTTGCAGCCCCCCCCCCCAAAAAAAAAAAAAAACGTTTGTAGGGCACCAGGGCCAGCGCTGTGCTTGGTGCGTGCTTAACAAGTTCTTCCCAAGAACCTGTTTGGTTTTCCACCGGCAAAGAGCCAAGTCGGAGCCACGTCATGATGTCATCGTTAAGCGTGCAAATGTCACGATTTACGTTGACGTCGTCTAGCCAAGACTGCCTGCGCTCTTAGTAACAACAATAATAAGAATGCACTGTTCGTATCTGCTAGGCAACTTAGCATAGCATCGATGATACTAGTACGTAGTGTATCCGCCATCGTTCTTCTGGTTGTGTGCCAGATTTTATCGCTAAAATTCAGGGAGTCATTCCTCAACATCGGCGATCGTCATGATAACTCCGCCCCCTGACGTAGTTTGTGCCAGGGTCTGGCCCAACAAATAATTGGGGCCAGTTTAAGCACCATTTTCAAGCACCGGAGTGAGAGCGAATTTCGCTGGTGGAAAAAGAAAGGAAGAAGTGATGCTAACCTGAGCACGAGCACAAGCGCGGTGGAAAAGAGCCTCCTGCGTCTCTGAGTGTGACTTGATCGAGGCCGATTTGTGACCATCGCTGCTCATGAACATCCTTAACGGGGACTAAGTGTAACTTTTTTTTTTTTGGGGGTGGGGGGGGCACACCCCAGGTCTGGGATAAATACCCAGACGGGAACGTGTGGCTGGGCGAGCGCGGCCACGGGACCACCACCTGCTCCAAACCCGGAGAATGGCCCGTGTCCTACCATGGCACCACCAAGAACGGAGCAAGGGCCATCATCGTCACCAATTACCAGGTTGGCAGTCAAGCTCTTTGGTTTTCTCATTTATTTCGAATCAATGAATCAACTTCCGGAGTTCATGCTGAGGATGTGCTCGTGGACACTGGGAAAAGGGAAGTGTCGGCGTGCGTGCGCGTGTTTGTGTATATGAAGCTTAATTGTTGTGGGGGGGAAATGTGTATTTTTATGGCTACTGTAAATATTTGAATTCCAAGGTTCAATCTTCAGCCTCACATTGTTCTCATTTTCATCGAGAGGACCTTTTTGCAGTCTGCTTAATTTTGTGTGTTAAAAAAAAGTAAAGCTATTCGCATTTCGGTGCTCTTTCAAGTTTGCCATTTTGATGTTTTTTTTAAAAAATTGTTTTAATCATAATCTTTTTGTTATTTTTGGGTTCGGAATTGATTGATTTTCCCATTTCGGGGCCAGCCTGGTCCGGGCCAAAAGTACGGTCGCGGCGTGTACTCGACGCCGTACCTGGAGCACGCGGTGGCCTACACGCAGACGTTCCAGTCGCAAGCGACGGACAGGAAGTACCGCGTGGTCATGCAGAACCGGGTCAACCCGGCCTACCGCGAGAAGCACAACGACGACAAGTACTGGCTGCTGCCCGTCCCAGACGGCCTGACGCAGCAACAGGAGCAGGATCTGGTGGAGAAAGCCATCAGGCCCTACGGCGTGCTCATCAAAGCCTTTTGACCGCAAGCAAAACCAGTAGCAGCACATTGTCGAAAATACAGAACATTTCACAAGGCAAACTGTCAATGTTCTCCTTTTCCGTGGGCATAATTGCGCAGCAAATATTTTCTTTATTTGATGTACAAATGACCAATTATTTACTACCATAAAAAAATCGGTTTTGTTTCCTTTTTACTAGCTTTTACATTCTTCTAAAGTAGGCTATTTTAATGCGCTTACAAACACAGACACCCCCCCCCCACCCCCTTCACGTATACTCATTTTAAGGCCTATTTTATATGTTTTAAATAATTTGCTCAATGACTTTATTTGATTTTGGGGGGAATCCATCCATCCATGATGTGATTGGCTTCTCCTAACGAGGGGAGCGGACGTGCTGGAGCCGGCCCCAGCTGACTTCCGGCAGCAGGCGGGCTCCACCCCGAACGGGTTACCGGGCCAATAGCAGGGCAAACATAAACGAACCATCCACAATTACACCGAGGGACATTTTAGCGTGTTCAATATTTCATAACCATTCTAAGGTCCTTGAACTCTATTTTTGTCTTCACGAGTAGGATAGCAGCATATTGCTATTTTGGCGAAATAAGTGCGTGCGTATAATTCTGCTATTGGTCGAATGGAATTTCGCTCGTGAAATGCGTCAAGATCGTCGTCGTAAGGAGCGCGTGATCGGTGTTTCCAGTTGCAACCAGCAGAGGGCAGCATTCACCACATTTCCATGCCCCCGCCTTCAGCTTTTTCAAACCACTTTGTGTAATGGCAACTTGATTCCGCCGGGAGGCGCCCGGTCGAGTTTCCCCTTGACGAAACTGCTTTTGGTTTCAAGCCGTCGGTGACCGCGCGCGCCTGACTCGACTCGCACGCGTGTGGTCTCGCGACCACCTCCCTCCCACGCGTATGCACGAGCCAGTCTCACTTCTCTCGGTCCCGGTCCGAGGATTTACGCCCGCTCCGTTTTTCTTTTTCGCATATCAAATTATGGTTCATTGGTTTGTTTGCGTTTTTTTGGTTGTTTTAGTGGCGCGGTGACGCGAGAGTTGAGCGGCAAAGGCAAGCGAGAGACGGCGAAAGAGCGCGGGAAACTCCCCCTGTTCCCGGCCAGGGGGACGAGAGAGGTACGTGAACGCACCGTCCGAACCATTTACGCTTCCAAGTTAGCGGGTGAGCGCGCACGTGCAAATGACTCAACGACAGCGAATGTTTGCTTCGTGCCGCAAGGCTTCAAAAAAAGAAGGCACTTGCGCACCTCTCATTGTCCGTCGTAGTTTACAGAGCATTTCCGCTCCTTGAACTTCCTTCTTTTGACCGACACCTTTTGGGAGGATCGCTTTTGTAGAAATGGAAACCTGGGAATTTAGTTCAAAAGAATTGTTCCAGGGCGATGCACTCTGTGTGTTTGCGACTCAAAGTATTCCAGGCATCTTCCCGCCATTAAAAAAAAATGAATGGAAAGGGCTTGAAAGCAGGCTCCCGAGTTTGAAAGGGCTTTCCGACGACCCGTGTTTCAGGTTGTAGCGCAGGCCACGGGAACTGGTAGGTTCTCGTTCAAAATACAATGAACGGGAAATCCCTCAAAAGTTGCGCAGGTGAAAATAAAAAAAGGTCCGAAATGACCCAAAAGCCACACGGTTCAAACGGAATTCCAGAAAATGTCCCAAAAGTCGAGCAGGTGAAACCCGTGTTCCCCAACAGTTGCTGAGTTTATTTGTTTGTGTTTCAGGAAGAGGGTCCCGCCTCCAAAATGTCCATCAACCGAAGCGGGGGATCTGGGGGTCCCCGTTTTTAGGCGTGAGAAGCCACCCCACCCCGCCCTGTTCTCCACTTTTGGATCTACGGAGGGGGTGGGCGGGCGTGGGTCTCCCCCATGGTCCCTCTGGCCGGCCGCTCGCCGCCGAATCGATTGAGCGCGCCAAGATGGCGGTCGGCGGGTGCTACTTCCTGCCTTTCTTGATGATCAAGAGCTGCTGGCTGCAGGGGTCCGCCGGCCCGTCCGCCACCGCGGACCCGCAGCAGGAGTACGCCCACTCCATCCGCCTGGACGGGGACATCATCCTGGGCGGCCTGTTCCCGGTGCACGCCCGGGGCGAGCGGGGACTGCCTTGCGGCGAGCTGAAGAAGGAGAAGGGCATCCACCGCCTGGAGGCCATGTTGTTCGCCATCGACCTGGTCAACAAAGACCCCCAGCTGCTCCCCAACGTCACGCTGGGGGCGCGGGTCCTGGACACTTGCTCGCGAGACACCCACGCCCTGGAGCAGTCGCTCACCTTCGTGCAGGCGCTCATCGAAAGGGACGCGGGCGACGTGCGCTGCGCCAACGGACAGACGCCCGTCTTCGCCAAGCCCGACAAGGTGGCGGGCGTCATCGGGGCGGCGGCCAGTTCCGTCTCGGTCATGGTGGCCAACATCCTTCGGCTCTTCAAGGTAACGGGAAGGCCCGCCCGCTGGCACCCTTGTCGCATATGTCATGTCGAGGGGGCCACGTGATCCCGGGCTAATTACCGCCAAATCCCAAAAATGAATCGCACGGCTCAGGGAATGAATGGATGGATGACGATTTATGGTGAAGAAGCAAACAAAAGACGAGTGCTACCAAAACACACACACACACACACACACACACAAACACACACACACACACACACACTCTCACGCACTCACAAGGGATAAGGGCTGACAAATGCACAAGACGACACAGCCAGCCAGCCCCCGGACTGACAACACACACCCGACACAAATCGTGCTGTGCCTTTAATTCACAACATGACTCACAGATGGATATATATATATATATATATATATATATA